TAAAACAACAGGATTTTTCCCTTTCAAAACCAAGATGGCAAGCACAATTTCCTCCTCCTTGCAGGCCAACTCAGGTAGCGGACCAGATGAGTAGCCTTGGTAGACATGAAGCTGAAGAACCTTTTAGACCATGTAGTGTTAGCATCAGGATCTCTGGTAGGCTCTGCAACAGGGACTTAAGCCTTTGGGAGTTCACGGATAAGCAAGAGCAGGTTGACGTGCCTAGAAAGCTTTAAGACAAAAGGTCCGCAGAGCGGCTGCATCTTCCATGGAAGACCGAGCAGCAAGGTCTTTCTTCTTCCTTCTTAGTTTAACACCTTTTCAACATGGAGCACAACATGCTGTAGAATCCCTCAGGGGTAACAGGAATGTGCAATATGCCACCCTCTTCCTCATCAGACACCAGAAACATCTCACCTGTGAACCATGTGTTGGAGTGACCTTTCTTGTGCCTTTGGGCTGGTAATTGGACTCCTAAGTCTGCTTGTTGCACTGTGCCAGCAACTGGACAGACGGGTTTTCTCTGTTTCAAATATGTATCTGTATAACAAAATATAGCTGTATTATGGCTTTAAATGTTATAAAGAGAAAATTTCCATGAGTATTTTTGAAACTTTCCCAGAGTTTTTCCCTTCAGTCTTGAAATAGAAGCAAAAAAGCACTGGTATGTCCAATCAAATATGTTTCACCATAACTGTCATTACTGACATTTCTCTCTCAAATTGCATCTTACACTGAGCAGGCTGAAGGGGGATGAGGCACTCTTTCCTGACATCTTGAATCATTTCACTGATTTGCTCGATAAAAACTGAGCGGCACTGCCATCATCTCTTCTGCTCAAGAGTCAGAAGACTGTTATCAATTTTATTCAGGAAAGGTTTTCATACGTTCAGACAAATTCAAAATTAAGGTTGGCATGTCGAAGGCTAATGCTATGTGGGACAATTCCAACTATACCAAAACTGATTGAAGGTACAGTTCCTTCTTGCCCTCATTTCCTGCTGCCGTCCTTCAGCCACGAATATCATCATCAATCATCATCATCAATCTTAGCTTAACTGTGGTCTTTTTTTGGAAAACACCCATCCATAGTATGCAACAGCATCCTTTATTTAAAGCACTTGTCCAACGTCCACTTTACACTAATAGGGCCTATGGCATACATTTCAAAATAATGAAGTGACTAAGAGGAAGTACTTTATTACAATGATTCTTGTAATGTGATTTTAATTAGAAAGAATACGGAAATACTGGGAAATTATTCTGATTTACAAGATTGTTTTTTTTGTTGCAAAGGTGAAAAAAAGACATTGGTAAATATGTCTTTGACATTGTCATTACAAATATGTGTAACAATATTAATGTACTCAACTGTCTCAGTGAAATATAGTATGGCCACGGTTCCCCCAAGAAAATTGGCAATGAAAGTGGTAAGTGTGTGTTCATGTCACAAGGGTTGTTGCTTCGGTTGGCTCCAATTTTATTATCCCTGCAAGCAGAGATGGCAACTGCTGGCAATTACCTGGTCTGTCCATCTGCCCAACATTATTAAGAACAAAATATAACAAGAGAGCAAAATACCTCAACAACTACTTGCCACATTGCCATAAAACCCTATATCCAGGATAAACTATATATATATATATATATATATATATATATTTTTTTTTTTTTTTTTTGACTACTTAAAAGCAAAAGTAAATATGTCCTTAAACATTTCTTCAATCAAACCTTTAAATAGGTAAAACTGCCATGAACATGCAAACCCACAAATTATATCACTACAACAGCAGGAGCACAACTTAAGACCTAAAGTAAGACGGGGGAAAAAAGAATTTACCATGGCTACAAGCATGTCATAGTAAAGACAAATATCAAAAGCTTTTTCATCTAGTACTATTTCTCTTTCTATCTGAAAATAATGTCTAAACGTAATGTTGCTGTGTGGCTGAGTATTATACAATTGGACATGCACATGTAAGCACATACAACAGAGAGACTACGTTGATGCAACCTCTTGCAACGGCAACAATTATCTCTGTCTAGACACTGGCATGACAGCAAGAGCAAAAAGACAAAGTACAGCAGTATTAAGTCGACCATAATTGCTGTCACGGTCCGTAGTTCACAAAAAGAAAAGAAAAAACAGTAAACAAAAAATAAACAAGAAAGAAATGGTAAGGACTGGAATGATATTAGGCTAAAAAAAATATTTCTTTGTGGTTATAAATTCAAAATAGCTATAATTATGCTGCACTTGTTGAAGCGGTGATTGTTCTCCTCCATGCTAATGAACATGATTTCTCACCAGAGAGAAAAGAGGTCCAAACCACAGAGAGGCTACTTAAGACAGAAGAAACATAGAGAAGAGCAGAACAGCCCTTGACAGGTTCTGAAAACGACATGTCTGCAAATTACATTATTGTTATATTATATAAAATATTAATAATAAAACTGAATTGAATACTGAAGGTCCTTTGAGATGGCCTTGTCAGACAATTATCCAGCACACTCTCTTCAACTCTACCTTGTTACGGTATTAGCCTACAAAGCAATACATTTTCCATCTCTGTTTTCTTCTTCTCTGTCGCCAAATAACTGATAACACCTACAACCAATTCATAAAGCCTCTAAGTTGGAAAAAAACCCAGTGCACAGGATGTAATGTGCTTACGTTTCTGTCACCATCAATAATTAATGATTGGAATAAATAGAGAATCCACTAGTCTGAAAATAAAAAGATGAAAGCTTTGCAGTAGCGCTCGTTCCCATACATAATCTTAAGGCTGACATCTCAGCTTGCACTCTTCTCAGAGAACTCATTAGTTAGCATGGCCAACAAAAGCAACCACGCATTAGAACACAATAAAAAAAATAAAAAAAACACCTGTATAAAGAATACTATAGTTGAAAAAAACAATAAAACATTACCAACCAGACAACTTTGATTGTGAAGTGAACACTGAAGTGCAGCAGGAATATAAGACTGCTTTTACACACGTACCCGAAAAATCATTGATTATTGAATTCAAAGGTTTTCAAAACATGCTCAAGTTTCAAAAGTATTTGTCCACTTTGAAGTCTTTTCCAGAATACAGTATGTTAAATAAGACAAGTAGTGTATTGTAAATGGCAGTTTTGCACAGCAAGGATGCCTGTTGGGGAGAGACAACTCTTTAATTGCAGGAACATGTTTTAAGCTGCCGTGCAATTTGGTTTGAGACCCTGTTGCCCACCTAAGCAACGCTTAGGAGTTTTATTCTGATCACCGACAAGGGAGCACCTTTTTACTAGAGGCAAAGCAACCACAGCAGGTGAACCAGGTGAAACAGGGGAGTTTCACAATGTGATTTACAAGCACAGCTTACACGCAGATCAGAAATGGCAACTGTCCTGTTTCACAAATGATTGTCAATCACAATTTGCAGATACATTTGTGAGTCCTACAGGGTTCTCATTTGCTCATACATGGGTCATAAGTATGGCAACGAAACGAACAGGAGAGGAGATTATTTCATGTTGCAAATTCCAGCATGCATGTTGCAAATTTGGCCCAATTCAAGTTTGGCTTTATGCTAACATCAACCTACAGAATGCAAACAGTTTGTGGTGCTGATAACCAAGAGCAAGAGCATGTTCTGACTGACTAAGAGAATATTAAATTAACTCTACCCATGATAAAGGCTTGATTTCAGTTTTGTAACAAATTACTGTAACTGTAAATTTTATACAGTTCATCCTTAGGCCATCCAATCAGTTGCATTTATTGTGTTCACACAATTAAATGTGTACTGGTCCTTAAAACGTGCTTTGTAAATACATATATAGAGATGTATGACAATTAGAATTTCCCAGGAGTGCCTCCTGACAGATTACTAGTGGGCATGATTGAGCCACAAGTCCATGAAAAGCAGTCTTACACTGGTAATCTTAGTGGTTGACAGTCATTCTCGTCACTTTGATCTAAATATAAAAGGCAGGGCGAAAATGATGGATTAGACCGCAAGTATCTGACGTGCAAGTTGATAAAATGAAAAATCCCATTGTCAGTTCATTCAAGTGTTCAACTCTGTAAGTCATTCATGCCTACTCATTCAGCCATTCATTTCCCCTTTCAAATGCTTCTCCATTCAGTCACTCATCTCTTCACTCGGTCTGATGTAGAGGTCTCTCAGTGTGCATTCGACCATGGTGGAGTCGTAAGAATTAACTCCTAAGAACTGATCCATTGACCGTGCAACCTTGAAACCTGTGCACACACCCTCCTACGCACACTTGGTTGTCAATTGCCTTAAAAGTGGTGGTCATGCTTGAGAACACATGAATTTCATTCACCCCACGGCTAAATGGAACCAACACGCTTGCCCACACACGTTTCATTAAAGTGCCCTGGTAGGCTTAGTTTGGCACAGTATGAGTCAGGGGAGTAAGAGGGCCTGACTGAGATGAAACACACACACACAGACACACACACAGACACACACACAGACACACAGACACACACACACACACACAGCCAATTTAAAAAGGAGAAGGGATCAGGTATAACAGAGGGAGTTAGTTAAGCACGTTGGCAAGATGAAAGTAGCTGGATTAGATGCACACAGTCATGCATGTGTGTTTGCGTGTGTAACATTAAGGTGACTACCAACCAGGATTCATTTCATTTCAGCTAGTTTCATTCCTCAGCTGACACTAGGGAAGGTCTACATTTATTTTGACGATATCTCTTCCGCCCCTACTGCTCTGTCCATTTTCATCCCTTCAACCAATAAAGCAGGACGTTAAATGAGCCACAACTTTTCCATTGGGCGGTGCTGGAATCACACCTGGGTCCAGTTGTGCTTGAAAAACTGTCAGATATGTGAACCGTTTGTGTGAATCAATCTGCAATGTCATATGGGCTCGGCTGCAGCCATTGGGGTTATTAAATTGGTTCCTTTGTGCCAGACGAGTAAATCCATCACAGAAAACAGTTGGAGGGAAGTCTTGGTGCCTACCTGAAGGTTGTGTCTCTCCAGTCTCATCTCCAGAATATTGTTCTGCTCCTCCAAACGCTGCCGCTCTGCTTCTAAATCTTCAATTTTCTGTCTGAAAAATATATGCACACACACTCACTAGTTTATAATATCATACATGTAGAATAGCGACTATGCATATTTTTGCCTTAACAGGTTAATCCTAGAGGTATTGCTCTGCTGACAGACAAGGCATCTGAGGTCTGGCTGAGTTAATCCACCCATGGTATATGAATTAATCTTTCATGTTACAGGTTTTGAATTGGTTGTTTTTGCAACAGGTTTTGTGTGTGTGTGTGTGTGTGTGTGTGTGCAAACTACCTGAGTATGCTGACCTCTTCTTTGTTTACTAAAGAAGTGCTGTCAACAGCAGAGGTCTGTTGCTTCTTTAGAGACTCCAGCTCCAACTCCACCTGAGACAAACAGAGGAGAAAATGGGCCTGGTGCACTAACATCAGACCACCTTTGGCCGTGTGCCTGGCAGGAACCTTTTGGGTGTATATAAATCCTGAGGACTCTTTTCCAGTGTGCCACTATCTTTTCGAGACAGACATCCAGACAAACAGATATATCCTTTATACACCATTAGTCCACAGACTCGTTTTCTATTTCACAATGTCTCAATCTTTTTTCCCCTAGTACTTGTTTTTAGTCTGTCTGTGTCTTAGTTAGTTCCTGTCTGATCTCACTCTCCTGTCTGCAATTATCCCTCATTTCCAATTGCACACCCATTTTCCTCGTTTTCTGACAGCATCTGTCTGTCTCTTAGCTCATCCTCATTCTCAGGCTTCCCAAGATGGATAAGTAATTACTGCTATACCAGACAGGTGGATTTCACGCGTCAATACTCATTGTCATGGCTATGTTGATGTCTCCTCGGCAACAAAGAGCCATGAAAAGAAGGGAGATCACAGAATAGAACAAGTGAAGACACAAAGCTAGAGCCACAGAGTGTGTAAGAGTGTTTAGGTCACACCTGCCAAAACTCTGCTTTATCCTTGTTTTATACCATATTTTAAAGCAGTCTGCTTTATTGTAACTTTACTGTAATTTCCACAACCTTCAATTAAAAAAAAAAAAAAAACACATGGGGCACACTTAACAGATTAAAGATTAGACTGTTTTACTTCATTCACAGCCCACACTATATTTCTAATGCAACCAGGCAGCAACTCACTTCAATAATTAAAAATTCCTATTTTAGTAGTACCTGTCAATTAGTGTCACTTTAGTCAGGATGTAAAAGCAAAGAGACAGTAGACTCAACACTAAGAAGCTACAGTACTTGTACTGTAAATGCCAATCCAGCCGCTAAAAAAAGGAACTGTCCCTTTAAAGAGGTCTACAGGACTAACGTCACTGTTCAGCACACTGGAAAAAAAGATGTTTGTCAGCACGTTAGTCACAGAGGCATAAGACTGTTATCCTGCCAGGATAGTCGTGACTAAAAAAAGGTACCAGCTTAAGTGCTTATGGCTGAAATTATAATGTCTGTGATCATTTGACTATCATTAAGTAGCAATTAAGATTTCTATAGCTTTAATACATGTTGTACATTCACATTTTATACATCCTAGTTTATTGTCTTTTTGTTTGTAGTTACTGCTGGGTCAAATATGTTAAACAATCTAAGAAAACAATGTGAAAAAAACGTGTGTGTGTGTGTGTGTGTGTGTGTGTGTGTGTGTGTGTGTGTGTGTGTGTGTGTGTGTGTGTGTGTGTGTGTGTGTGTGAGAGAGAGTGTGTGTGTGTGTGTGTGTGTGTGTGTACATGCATACTCACTGTTTGCAGTTGCAGTTTCAGAGTGCCTGTCTCTTCCTGTGCTTTGGTCAGCTGGACCTGAATCGAAAGACAGAACAAAGGGGGGAAAGTTACAGATATAAAACACACAAAAAATGACTTCCTGTCCTTATCCTACTGATATACAGTATTGACAGAAACAGAGCATGTGAGCAGAGCAGAAGCAGAAGCACCATATATTATTCGAAGTGTGCAGTTCATTTACTGAGCCTTCACCATTTCGTTGCAGTGTTGGTCAAAATGCCCTGTCAACGACAAGAGCAGTTTTATCAGATACCTGTCAATTTGTCCACCACGCAAAAGTATTGAGCGTGTTGACAAGAAGCAGCTGAGCATCACGCCTTTAAAGTGCCTTTAGGTATGTGAAAAGTGTCACTCAACAACCTGCATACTAAATTGGCCTGCAGCCAAGAGGAGTGTAAATAATTACTTTATATTCAAATGTGTTAAAAACAACAAATTTGCTATGTGGGAGCCAAAGTGGGATATAATAAATGCAAGTGTTGCATTTGTGCATGTGTGTAAGCACACGCACCTCCATTTCTGCATTGTGGTTCTGTGTCTTCTGCAGTACGTCCTCTGCCTCTCTGAGCCGTTTGCTGAGTTGAGGAGAGTACTCAGTAGGCGCCAGCTCGGTGTCGTAGGACTCTAGTATAGCACGCATTCCATCACGCTCCTGTAACACACACACAAAAACATTAACATAACTCTACAAAATAAAAAATCCTGCAATGACCTTACAGGATTTTGTGTTATCTGATATGTAATGTTTACAGGCCTGAGAGCAGATAAACTGAGAATATCAAAGCTTTGTGATCTTTTTTTCTGATTTGCCTATGTTACTTTTATATGACTGTTTGGTGTGATAATATGACAGCCAAATGTCTTTGTAAATGAGGAACAAAGTATGAGGCAGCTGCGCCTTTCTCATCCAAACTGTGCCAAGAGAGGCTTAGGGTTATGGTCGTGCTCATCTGAATTTCCCCTCATGTAATAATCAAATCAAAGAGAAATGTCTTTGTAGACAAAGGATAAAGAATAAATCAAAAAATTAAATCAAGGAGTCATGACAGAGAAATGTCTTTGCAAATGAAGCATATAATATTATGCTGCCTCATCTCTCTTATCTGAAATGTGATGAGATAATTTAAAAATTCTAATGAATTTTTTTCTCCTCTATAATACTAGAATGAAAGACATGTCCTCAACACTGTACTCTGTCCAGTAAATCAACACACCAAGCAGTAGCTTCTCTAAGAGAAGAGAGGATAAAAACCTCTTCAAGTCAACGTCTTCTCAAGTGTCACTGAGATTGACACGCTGTCTCCAAATAACTCACAAGTCTGTCAGTGTGCGTCTGTATGCCTGACGTTTGAGTGTGCATGTTCAATTTCACACACAAAAACATGCAAGTCTTGATAGGGTTCCCAAAAAACACACAAAAATGTAAAGAAAACGAATTCAGCCATCTATAGGATGTATTATAGAGACTGTTAAAGTGTGCATAAGTGGGGGTGACGGGGCAAGAAGAAAGTAACACAAACCCAACACCCTGCAACTGCATCTAAATCATTTCACCTTCTGAACCAACGGTTCATTTCAGCCATTAAACTTTGAATAAAAAATAAACTACAACAATTTCATCTCAAAACTACTTTTCCATAAATGCTCAGTTGACCCAGGATGTTCGGAGAGAAAGTTAATGTATGTGTAGTCAATTAAACTGCAAGTAGACAAAGAAAGTGGAATATTACAAATTGTTTACCAATTCACAATTAGTCTTAGTGTTTAATATCTTACAAAGCAACAGTGTTATCAGCCACTGGTTAAGTGTTTGACACTAAAAATCACTATTTAGTAATTGTTTAACTAAAATAAAAAATTCTAAAAATTTTACCCGATACAACATTTTAGCTTGTAACAAGAAAACATTTTTACTACATTTAATTAATGCATTACACAGTAAATCTGTACTGGTTGCCAAGCAACATGATGAACGAGAACAATCTAAACTGTTTAAACCTGGAAAACAGCCCATTTATTAATGCAAATTCACTGTCAATCAACACTATTAAAATGATGCGTCTCCTCCCATCCCTTCACTACGCTGGTCCACTCTGCATTATGAAGCAGAGCAGGCGGCATTTTGTGGCAATCAGGCTTTTAATAAACATCTCACAAACAGCCAAGCTGTTTGGGACCCTCCTTGAATTTTGAGGGTCATTGAAAGCTCAATTGTCTATTATTAACAAGGCTAATTTAGGGAAATGTATGCAATTCAGGTTGAAGTCAGGTAATGAATACAGGCAGTAAATACCAGTTCGGATAAGTGCATGTACTATATGTTGATCACTGCTGTCTTATTAGAATGGCTTAAAAGCACCTTATAATTCCTGCATATAAAAGTCTGTGAATAATGGGCTGCAATTGCCCTGTCAGATTAGCTCATAGGCTAGTATCTGAAAACAAACCATGATTACCCTAATCAGATTCAGACTGATTAGTCAGATCAAAACCAACATAATCCATTTAAAGATGACAGAGTCTGGTTCATTTAAAAACACTATATGTGAAATCATCCTTAATTCAACCTTATTTGATTTGCTACCGAAGCGGAGTCATTTGTCATGCAATATTACACAATTGCCTAATACATCTTGTGAGAAACTTGGAAAAGAGAGAAGAGGAAGACCAACAGCAGGACAGACTGAACAGAAGTAAATACAAAAACGTACAAACACATTTAGAGGTCAGTGTGTATGTGTTTGTTGCCAATCCAAACCAGTGGGCCCTTTGGCTATTTACTGTCTATTAATGTGCAATGAAATTCACCCAATCTAAATCAAAAATCTGTCAGCTCTTCTCTGATAAAAACTCTCATTTTAAAAAACACAAACAAACAGTGAGCGGGAGGACAGAGTGATAAAACTATCATTACTGTTTTCATCATCTATTTCTTAAAAATTGCTTTTATGTCAACTGTTTTATCTCGTGCGTGAAGATGTGACTGCGCCTCTAATGGGTCAGCGGGTCTGTCCCACAAAACTATATGAGAAACAAAACATCAGGGCAACAGTAGCATAAAGGAGTCGTAGCCTTGTGGCAGAGAGGGAAGGATGACATTTGTTTTTCTCTCCACTTCCTTAACAACAGCTGTCAAGGTGCAGCTGAGCAAGGCACTTAATCATCATTGATTTGTGAGCCAGTATGTGGCCACAGTCATTCCCACAGGTGGAGGGGGGAACTGGGGATTTGGATAGAGCTCAAATGATTTGTTGATTAATCGAATTGCTGACAATACAAATCGAACTCACAACAATTTTGTTAGGGTAGGATAGGTGATATATTGAATTAATTGTGTTTTTTGTTAATGCACGATGTATAAAATGTCTACATCTTGAAAAAGTTATTACAAAAATGTACAAAAAGTTTACTTTTACTGGGACTTTAACGATAATTACAGCTGGCTACATTAGGTATCCTATATTATAACAATAATAAAAAACAGCTCTGCCATATCTATTAGATTAATATGTTGTAGTTTTCTTGGAATTATACAAAATGACTGAAAGAAAAATGCTAAATAAAAGACTAAATATAATGGGGCAGTTGGAGCTATGGTTGGGTGAGAGACATTTATACACTCAACTATAGTTGTTAAGCTTAATATAACATTATGAATGCAGCAAACCATCCCTGAATAAAAAAAAGGGGCCAACTGCAATGGATATTTATTTAAATACAATGTGACTGGATGCTAAACAACAATTATTCACAACCTCTGAATGCTTGGTAAAGTGCAAATGGTTAAACGCAGTCTCTGCCAAAACAATCTTGGGTCCAGCCATATTTTCAGCATGCCTGTAGCCCTGCTTAGTTATGGCAGTGGGCAAGAGTGTGTGTGTGTGTGTGATTTGTGTAGTAAGAGACTGAGCATGTTGACCTAGGGAATTACACAAACTGAGAAATCAATATCACAGGGAGGTCTAGTAAGGAACTGCAGAGCAGGGGGAAGCAAGTCGGACAGATTGAGGAGTCACATGACATTCATTGACCAATCAGAGGAAGAGAGGGGTAGAAGGGCAGATTAGGAATTCTGTGCCGGCCTTGAGATTCAAATGCTGGCACTGGGTGACGTTGAAAAGATCTTGTCCTGAGGTTCTGAATAACTGCTAATGTGTCTGTATTTATGGGTTTGTTTTTGTGTGTGTTGTCGACTGTCGGGCACCTTGGTTAATAACAGCACCCTCTTCTGTAGTCGTCGTACAAGACTGTCCTGTGCCTCCCTCTTCTTCTGTTCCTCCAGAGTCTTGCTGCGCTGCTGGGACAGCTCTGCACGGAGCTCAGACTGTGAACGCTCCACACTCCTCACACTGACGGACCAGGATAAATGAACAGGTGGAAAGCAAAAAGGTGTGGGTGTGTGTGTGTGTGTGTGTGCAGGTTAATAACAGGGGAGAGGAGGGGGCAGGGGCAGGGGCAGAGGAAAACAGGTTGATTAGTTGTGAATGTTCAGACAATCTGAGAAAAGCAATTTATAGTCAATTTAGAATAATACTCCCTAACAGACATCTTACCTGACTGACACCAAATAATTCCTAGACAACTGTCCAGAAATTATTTGCAGCCGCCATTTGTGCCAGGTCTGATCAATAGGACAATAATTACACCACACGCTCCGTTCACCATCCCCTCCCACACCCACCACTCTCCCATTCGGCTGTTTCTAATATTTCATAATGAGCCCAATACGCTCAGCAGAAGAGAGACGCTTGTTAGCTAATGAAAGCTTTCTTAGCTGGACTGAGCTGCAGCATGAATACACCAGAGCATGCACACAGCCTTCCCCACAGACATCACCTCTGCCTAAACAGGACAAGTTTAATTAGTGAATTCTCTCTCTCTCTCTCTCTCTCTCTCTTTCAATCTCTCTCTCTCTCTCTCTCTCTTTCAATCTCTCTCTCTCTCTCTTTCAATCTCTCTCTCTCTCTCTCTCTCACACACACACGCAAGTGGTTACTGTCAGGAGTGCTATCAGAATCAGGACCAGTTTAATTAACTTTGTGACAATTAAGGACTTCTCAGAGATACGCTCTAATAGATACATGGGGGGGAGAGAGGCATGCAGGCAGACAGAATGAGAGAAAAAGGTCTGAAGGCAAAGAGGGATTTTGTGTATGTGTGAAGAAGTGTGTGTTACCGGCTGTTGAGTGTGTAGTTCTGCTCTTTCAGAGCAATTTCTCTCTGCTGGATCTGAATCACCTCCCTGGACAGATCCTCTGGTTTCCTACAGACAGACACACACAGAACAGTTAGCATACACATGTGTGCGTACACACATACACACACACACACACACACACACACACACACTCACATACACTTACTCAGACACACACAATGAAAAATCAATATGACTGAGAGAGCAGAAAGGACAGAGAATAGATGAAAACGACGGCTTTTCCATATTCTTTTGTTAGTCGGCCAGTGGGGAGCTGGGAAATAAAATGACATGAGCAGCAGAGGGAGAGATGAGTGGAGGATAGTGGGCTAAATACTGGTCACAGTTCTACAAAACAAACTCACTCCGTGGGAGAGATTGACAGATTACAAAACGCACACAGACACACGCATAAACACACAATGGGAAGGCAACAATTCAGAAGGTCACATACTCCGACAGAGATGCACCACATGCCCTCCAAACTCTAAATCCTGTGTGTAACTATGGATCTGCCAAAAAAATGAATGTCATTATCTCTTTATCTCATGTGAAATGGGCATACATTAAAAGGGAGCTGAGCTTAAAAATTGAGTGGAGCTCAAAATCTTATTTTGCTGCCACCCAGCACTTAAAATTACCAACCTGAAAGGTGATGCTGGTCACTCATAAGGTTAGCTGTGGTCATGATATGAGGGCAAAAGACTTTTAACCCATGGTTTCACTAGAGTGGTACCCTGATATCTGGTACTGTGATCCAGCATTAGGCAATCCACTGAGTCATATGACAAATAAGAAAAGGCTAAGCTGTCGAGGTGAACATCAAGGCTTGAAAGTACACTATGTGCAAGTTGTGTAGCATGGATTTATCACAACTCCCGCTAGGAGGAGCCTTAAGAAAAACCTCTCATGACTAAAATATGAGTTCATGAATCATATGATAGAATAACCATGGTACCCAAAGTAGGTAATTCCACATTGCCCAGAGCACAGAGGGATTAGCCTTCTCCTAAGCTTATACGGGAGGCTCTTTTTCTGTGTTCTGCTTTTTTTGGGGGGGTTTTCACAGGTCAGGAGCCAGACATCTCTGTTGATGTTGCAAATAACTGGTTGGTTGCATATTATTGGGTGAGATGTTGTGAACTCCTGCGAGGTAACTACAAGTAAATGCAGTGTCAGGGTAGTGCAAGTGTACTGTGAGTCTAGTTTTGAGTGCACACACTTACATGTGTAAGGTGAAGTGATACTAACACCAGAGCCTTGTTAAAGTGGTATGGATTCAGTTTTAGAAAACAAACCCACTCTTACCACTAAACACTGTGTTTTCAGACAGTTTAGTCAATTACTTGTTACCTTTGAAACTCAAATTCAAAGCCATGTATGAGTGAACCTCATGTTACATTTTATCTATAATATTTGCACAGCAACTGCTCTAAAATCTATTCAAATGACCCTGGAATCAACATTTCTGGAGGAAAGGCAGTGTTTCTACAATAGTGAACAGTAATTTAAACACTAACTCGGATACAAGATTGGAGCAGCATAGGGTTTACTAGGGCTCAAAGTGATTATTATTTTCATTATCAGTTCATTTATTTAATTTATAATTTCAGATTGAAGTTAAATGAAAATGCTCATCACAACTTCCCCACAGCCTAAAGGGACGACTACAAGTCGCTTGTTTTTTCAGGCCCAACTAGAAGATTTTCAGTTTAGTTTTTAAAGAATTTGTACTCTCATTATTTTACTGTTTTAGGAAATACACAGAGCTCAGGCATAATTCTTTAGCTGGTGAACACTCAAAAGAAAACCCATTCCAGAAATCCTCTCCAGTTATTTTCATCGTCTGTCCCTTCGACATTGAACATATTTTCTTTCTGTTTCTGTCAATCTTATTTTTCAATTGTCAACCGCATGGGTACACACATAAGCAAACACAATGTTATCAGACTGTGTAACAGAAGGAAAGGAAATAAACACCAGCAACCAGCCAACTGCTGGCAAATTCAAGCTGCGGCTGAGGGGCTTGTCTACCCCACCAAGCAGCCACACTGATTGTTGTTGGGGAGGGTTAACTTCTGTCCAAAAGTTATTTTCGGCTGGCAAAACAGCACAAATTGCTGGTAAGAAACCAAATCCTGGGTTGCAAGAGACAGACTCCTCAACTACAGCGCCAGTGTGTTTACTCCTTAACAATTGCTCCTCAACATATTCTTTCACTAATGACCACCCTGAAATGTCAAGTGACAGAAAGAGTTACAGTATGTAAACTAAAGCAAAACAATGCATTAAGAATCAGTAGCATTGCAGTTATGAGAAATGACTTACAGGCCAGAAAAATTAACAAATGAATAATACAAAAGCACACACAAATGCCAAAACACTACAGCCCCTTATGATATTTCATATTTAATGACAGAAGAAGAAACAGCCTAGAAACGGGCTTTAAGGGGAAGCTTTGTTTTGATGTCAACATTAATTCAGACACTGTTACATGACTGATGGCACTGTCATACTATCATTCAGTCACTGCCGTGTCATTAATTTTCTTTTCTACTAAACTTGCTGGTCATTTTTAACTATAAAAACAGTATAATGGCATAAACCTAGATTCAGTGTGGTGTTAGTAAAAAATTATATATCTGAAAAGATTTAGCACAAAACAACTTAATGAAATAAAGTCTGCTTAACAGCCTATACAGCAATCACAATATGCCACTAATACACAAATCCAAATCAATACTAATTTTCACACAGCACTGTTGTAGTGAGTAAAATAAAGGTGAAAAACAGACTTCTGAATGGCACACTCTTGCTTTCCATTTGCCATGTACTTCACAAGACTGCATCAGGGAAACAACATCCTGACAATTAACTTGGCCATTTAGTAAACAGTAAAAACAGCTTGAAGGAGTTCCTAACTGTTGATTTGCAAGCTGCATTAACCTTTACTTTTGATCAGTATGAGGCTCACACATATGGCTGCCCTTTAGAGGCCGTATGTGCAACACAGCTCCTTTTTTTCCCCAGCAAGGCACTCTAGGAGCCAATGACATGGTAGTCTGAACACCTGAATTTTGAGGAAGGTTTCAAATTTTCAACTCAATTTACCCAGGATGACTAGCCTAGACTGACTTAAATTTTCAGAAGAATGATTGACAGCCCAACCAAATTATTGCGTATATTAAGCTGAGGTTGGTATTACATTCCTATGATCCTCCAAGGTATTTTAATAACTGTAAATTTAACAAATGCTATCAGGTTCCATAACATATTACATAAGACCAAAAAAATGAGGAAAGATTTCATTTCATTTCATAATTTTTACAGTTCGTCTACCTTTTTCTTCATGCCCTGTAGGAAGCTGTAACACACATTTTTTACACACTCGAGCACACACGCGCAGACACACACACAGTATAAGACAAACCGGATACGCTGTGTGGATGAGTTTCATTTAACATTCTGTTTACATCACAGCCAGTTAATCATAGAGAAAATGGTGTGTGTACATGTGCGTGCATGTGTGCATGTATGCATGCATCCATGCAATAGGACAATAGTGCAGTGTTTATAATCTGTCAGATCTGCTCCACTGCTCACAAGGAAACATGCAATCATTCCCTCATTACCAGTTTTGACTGGATGCATTGAGACACACTCAGCACGCACACAAGCAGGTATAAAACAAACACACACCTATACATATTGGTGGAATCAATCGACAGTGATGAGGCACATTTATTTGGAGTGACCACAGCTCCACCTAGTGTTACTTATTTATATTTCATTCATATTTCATAAAAATTTAATGATAAAACGATTGAACACTTGTCTACCTCTATTCTCCTGTCTCATAATCACACACAGGCATACTTTCACACAGTATCTGACCTTATGTTGAGCCCAGTAGATTGTCCCAGGTTTTCCCAGGCTTGGAGCTTCTCTGCCAACCTCTAAGGATTCAAGAAACAACAGGTCAGATGTTTCTCCATTTATAGGAGGAACATTATAATGTTATTATGACAGCAGGGGAAAAAAAAAGAAGAAAAGATATATCACAGTTGAACAACATAACAGTACATCAGTAGACTTTACTATATTTATATAATATAAAAACAAAATAAAAAAAAAGAATATGGACATTAATAGAGAGTGTAATTGGTAAATATTATCCAAATATTCTGGCCTTCAAATGAATTGGTTGGATCTAAGACAAGTAATCTTCTCTTTTAATGTTTTTTAGTAGTGGAATGAGACAATGTGAATATCAATATGCTACAGAGTGAAACAATACAATCTCACAACTACACAAACTTTACCTCTTTCTCCAGTTCCATATTGACCAGCTCCTCTTTCGTTTTGGCCATCCTCTCCAGCTTCCTCCTCAGCCCCTCCACCTCCTCTTTCAACAGGCTGCAATTCTCTCTGCTCTCCCTGGACAGAGTGAAGTGAACAGAGCAATGACAAAAACAAAACACAAAATTAACTTCAAAGTTTTGGACCTTGTGTCTGATGTAGGAATGGCATCATTTCTTTATCCCGGCAACAGTCTGACGCGATCTTAAAATGTGATTTCAGATGTAGTTGGATAACAGTAGTAAATGAGCACATTAACAAAGGAAATTGGACAACATATAAACCTATACTGCATTAATCTAATTATTCTGATAGCATCTCGACTATGCAGTGCAAACCTGAACACATCATGTCTGGTTTGGAGGATGCAAAGGCAATATGAGCAAAAATCCTCTGTCACCCAATTCCTCGTCGGGTGGTATGATGACTCAAAGTCACAGTGACATGCTTAGTTCGTAGAGAAAACTTGAGCACAGTGGGGTCGCAGAGGGCTGCAGTCTTTAAAAATGAAATCCTGTCTCTTTCTTCTGTTGAAGGGTGAGACATTTGGAAGGCATTAGAAACTTTAAAATGTATTTGACCTGAGAAAGGCATTATCTTCTCTGAGGCGCTTCAACTCCTTTTCCAGGTCTGGAACCTTGGCCACCTCTGACTTAACAGACTCCACAATGGCGACGTCTTGCTCCTGGAGGGCAAGACGCCTCTCCAACTCCTGCCAAAGCATGAAGAGAGAAGTCAGCCAAAAGAAATCCCAACAGTATGTGTTTATTATAACACAAAATATACATTATATAATTAAAAATACTTTTTCAGCCTTATACATCTTTTAAGAATGAAATTATTTAAAACAGTTATGAACTTGAATACTTATCATGTAAAAATGACCTACAAACACATGTGAAGCCAAACATGACTTGTGAAAAAGTGAAATATATATATTAACAATTTCAACCTACATTATGAAATTTCAAAAAGAAAAATTAAGTTTCCAATAATTCAATTCAAGTGTTTCTCGTCCTATTTTGTTTTACTGACAATTTAAGTTAGTGCATCTCTACATTTTTGTAAAGGGGCAGGTTGTGATCCCAGTTTTTACATAGCAGACAATATGGTCCACCATGTTCAAATTCTGATCACAAACTGAGATCAAAGAGTGGCCAAAAGTGATGTGTAACATACCTTAATCTTGATGATGTGCTCTGAGCAGGAGGACTGGGCAGCTTGGAAACTTTGACAAAGCTGAGACACTTCCTGATACTTCCTGATTATAATACCAATCAGATACAAGTGTGTGGTCAGCATTTATCTTATGCAGTACAGCGCACAATCGATTACCACTAAACAAAGCTAGGTAAGCAGTAGTCTCTGTATGTGTCTGTACCTGCGTTGTAAATCTAACTGTTCTTGCAGTTCCTGGTTTTCCAGAGATTGAGTAGAAATTGTTGAGCTTTGGTTTTGAATCTTCTGCTTGAGCTCTCTGATCTCATCCTTCAAAGAACTGATGGTCTGGGAACAGATTACACAAGTAAGCCAACATAAGATAAGAGACATGATCAGAGTACAAACACTGTAAGTGGATGTGCATGTGTGCATGTGTGCGTACCTGGTTGGCAGTGTTCACTTTAGTATCTTGCTCCTCCAGTTTCTTGTTCAGGCTCTCCAGGTTCTTACGGAGAGCACGATTTGCCTCCACCTGCTCTGATAGGTTCTTAGCTGCCCCGGTTTCTCTTTCTTCCAACTTTTTTATCCGCCCCAGGAGATCCTGGTTCCGGTCAACCTCATGCTGTAACATAAAAGTTTGAGAAACAGGTTTTACTCGCCTTTGATGCTTATTAGTTTATATGGGATTCTCTGAATAATGGAGATTTTGAGGAATAAAAAAATCCTGTTTCCTAAGTCTGTGCAGTAACTTAATATTAAAATTCATCGTCACTGTTAGATGCCAAATGATGCCATTTCCACAATACTGCACCTTGTCTCGACGAACTTACAAAGTTTTGTTGCATGTGCCAGACTCTAACTGATTTTAGTTCTCCTTTAACACTATTCATCCACACATCTTGCTTATAGAATTTTGAAGGTGGGGCGCCCCAGTGGCTCACTTGGTGGGGTTCAACTGCGACTTGACTTTTCTGTCACTCTTCAGCTGTCACTATTAATTAAAAAGGCAATAAAAGCCCAAAAATATATCTAAAAAATGGTAAATTGGAAGTGGTATTACTCTTTTTATTTTGTTTGTTTTTTGTTTAAATCTAAAACTAGTCAGCTTCTAACACTATCACTTTGTGGTAAAATTCTCAGATGACACTGCTATCCTCAGTTTATTCACAAGCAACTCCAACATTACCAGCTATAAAGATACATTGATGGACAAGTTCAAAGACTGGTGCGATTAGCACTGTCTGTAGATCAATGAACGAGTGAGATCCCAGATCAATTGAAGACCACAGATCTGTTGCCAATGCCATACATGACCATGACATTAGGTCAATTCTTAATTCCACTAAGAAGAAACCTTCCTTTTTTTTTTTTTTTTTTACAGGAGCGCCTTGATTACATTCACACAGTCACACACCAGGAAGCCGCCCAGTCCAACCACAGTCTGATCTGCTGGCCACTGAGCATCTCCACGGATGGGTTAAGGGCCTTCAGGCTTACAACTACTGGCACTGATCAAATAGAAAATAATTAGGGGTCCATATTGACAGATAGCTTAGCTGGCACACATTTTGTCAAGTGTCTGTAAGAAAATCCACCAGTACCAACACCTGGAGGGTAGACAGATGGGTCGGGAGGCACTCCGATAATTTCAGGTTGTTTGGATCACACGTTTTACTTGTTAGCATGTAAAGTGAGATGTGACTGTTTGCTTGTAATTTATGTACTAAAGTGTGTATGTTTATGTTTTTTTTTGCTATTTATAACAGAGTGAATGGCTTTGTGAGAACTCTGCTCGACTGTTTTATCTCAGGCTAATGTTTGCACATGTATGTGGTTTGCTTTTGATGCAGCAATTCCCTGAATCTAAGACACTTTTCCCTCCATTTGCATTATATGAATGTGTAAGGATTTGTGACCTTTACCTCCAAGTCTCGTGCGCTGTCAGAAGCAGTTTTCTCTAGTTCAAATCGAGCTCGCTTGTGACTCAGCTCCATCTGTTTCTTCTCCTGGTCCAACTGAAGGTAGCGATTCTTAGAGCGAACCCTGTCTGCTGCTTCCAACAACTAAAAGGAAAGAGAAGACGGTCAGTGCAAAGGCTGCATGTTAATACCTCTTTTACACAGCCTACTGTTGACGCTGTCAGCTTCTGTATACCTCCATGCTGCGTTTGTACTGACTCTGCAGGTTTCCAATCCCCGCTGACTGTTCTGACAGCCGCTGCGGAGGTTCAGTGTGGCTGATGAAGGAGTTGAAGGACTTCAAGGTTGTAAGCACGGTGGTGTCATCTTCTAAATCCATGTTGAGACTCACTGGTGTTGCAGTGCACAAATGAAAGGGTCAGTAAAGGTTTACTGCTGTATGAGAAAACCTACAGAGCCATTTCAGTAGCTAATATACAGTCAGAAAGGTACAAAGACAGATAGATAGACAGATAGACAGATAGATAGATAGATAGATAGATAGATAGAGAGGTAGATAGAGAGGTAGATAGATAGATAGATAGATAGATAGAGAGGTAGATAGATAGATAGATAGATAGATAGATAGATAGATAGACAGACAGACAGACAGGTAGATAGACAGATAGATAGAGAGGTAGATAGATAGACAGATAGATAGATAGATAGAGAGGTAGGTAGATAGATAGATAGAGAGGTAGGTAGATAGATAGATAGAGAGGTAGGTAGATAGATAGATAGAGAGGTAGGTAGATAGATAGATAAAGAGGTAGGTAGATAGACAGACAGACAGACAGACAGAGAGAGAGAGAGAGAGATAGATAACTAGATAGATAGACAGATAGACAGACAGACAGACAGACAGACAGACAGACAGACAGACAGACAGACAGACAGACAGACAGGTAGGTAGGTAGGTAGGTAGGTAGATAGATAGATAGATAGATAGATAGATAGGTAGATATGCAACAGTAACGTAAACTGACATTAGTTTCCATGCCTACAAACACTAACAGCAAAAGAACTTTACTTACTATCTTATGTACTTGCGTTGACTTATTGTGGCACTGTCCCTGTCCCTGCCTCTGCGTTTAGCTGTGTGCACTGTTGTTATTGCTCCTGGCTCACTGCAAAGCAAGCATAATGCTAGCTAAGTTACATTTAAAGTGTGTGCGGTAGTTTCTAACAGTTATTCAGAAGCTAACAATCTTCGCGAAACAAAACAGCTCGCATTTTACGTAAGAGTCCTCTGTCCTCACCTCAGAGCGGACTTGTTTGTGAAGAGTAGCAAGTGTGTTGTGGGTAGGTTATCTTTGCTCTGTTAGCATGTTAGCTGCACACAGAAAGCCCTCCAGTTTAGCTCGAATGAGATCCGTGTAGTATCGCGGGAGCTTGGAGATCTCGCGAGAATCCCAGGCGCAGCTTTTCCTTTCGGCTGGAAAGAAAATATATATGCAACAACTTCAGCAGCATTGTACAGCTGTTCTTACTAAACACATGTTTCTCTGTTTGTAAATGAGTGAAATTAATTCAGTTAAAGGTTTATAAGCTTCTTAGACCTTCTTATACCGTAGATGAGCAACTGTTATAGCGGGTTTTATGCCTTTTTATGAAGAGGCAAGACATTATTTTGCCTCTATGAATCTTCAGAATAAGAAAGAACTGTTAGGAATACTGACAAACAATTCACTAAAGTAGTAAAGATCACCAACATCATCATCAGCACAACTGGTTTAATAAAACTGAGAAACACACCCTGGAAAAAAAATCTATTATTTAGTATTTTCATTGGGGTTTCCATCAGTCTGCCACCTGTATGTACTGCAGGCCTTCTTGCATGTGTGTGACTTCATTGACAAGAAAAAAAAATGTAATTGCATAGTTTGTCCCACAGAGAGCAGTACTGCTATATTCATCAGTCTGTATTTCACAGCGTGGTGAGGGATGCTATTCTTTAGTGTAATCAGGTGGATATGGATATTGCACCCACATAGCTGATGGTGATGGCATTCATTAGGCACTGTAATAAAGCATATGGGCCCAGGTTTGACTCTGATGGCACCTGCTTTAAGATGGCATACAGGGTAGGCTATGTGCTGACTGTTGATAGCAGTGATGTTGTCATTGACATGATGAAATAAGACAATTTGGGCCATATTGTTATGGCCAGAAGCATTAAAATCAATGAATTGAATCAACACAGCTACCACAAATGGTGCTCCCGATCTGACCTTTTAGTCACAAAGAGCCAAGGCTACCGAACCTTGTAACCATATATGACTCTCATTCACATCCAGTTTGCTTCAACATAAATACTTAATTCATTCCCACAAGGAAAAATTATCCTCTGCATTTGACAGCCACAGCATAGCGCCCAAGGACCACAACTCAATTCTGTGACAAGTGCCGTGGTCTGAGGCAATACCCAGAGTATTTCTTATCCATAGCATACATGTATGTATTCTGATGTAGGAAGAAACTGGAAGGCATAGAGGATTTGTGTGAATATAGGGAAGGAAAATGCTCAGAAAGGACCAACCTGTAAGACATTTTTCTATTGTTATGTGAGCCAAATAAACAACAGAAATGTGAGTATTTTGTCTTCCTTGATTTGGAAATTTGAGAGATACTACATTTTTATGTTTTTTGGAACCCTGGATTTTGGGTTTAGGACTCCACTGAGAATACCATTGTTGAAGAGCAACCTCCTTTTCCAATACAGCCCCACCTGTAAAATGAGAGTACGGAATACACAGCGAAATCATAAAGTACATAGACACACATAGAAGTACTCAAAATGGAGTAGACAAATCATCCAGGGATTTCTTTTTACAGTATTTAATTGTATTGCTGTTAACAGGAAATGGTCACACCACCTCCTCAGCTTCCAGCTCAGTGGTTGTGACAAACTGTTAGACACTTTCGCATCTTGGGCATTAGCTGAGGGTATAATCCAGAGTGATTTGTAGCAAAAGTAGAAATTACAATTATAATTGCTAAATTACCGCACCAAGTTCCCAGTGGAGAGCAGCAGCTGATGAGGTCTGAGCCGTTCACAAATTCTTGTGCAGGAAAAGAGCTGGAGAGCATAAAATAAAAGCTAGGGGGAGCCACAGAAGCAATTTTTTTTTCCAAAATTGGATGAGTTCCAAGATGGGAGAGGGTGGAGGGGTGTGAATTCATCTGAAAAGGTCAGACAGAAGACATGTCCTCTTCAGAATGACACAAGAGCTTCCGTTCTCTCTGTCACTGTCTCTTTCTTTCTCATCCTTTCACCCCCAAGAGTATTCTGCCTGTTTCGGTCCGCTGTCCTCACACCCCTTGCCCCTCCCGCCTCTCTTGTCTCCTTTACTTGGACCCCCTATCTCCCTCGCTTACTGGCTAATAACACTTTTTTCCTCACTGTCTTTCTTTATCCGTCACAGTCTGACTCAGTTGTTGCCCCCTCCTCTCTCTCTCTCTCTCTCTCTCTCTCTCGGGTATTCTGTCGCCCTCCTCACCGTCTCCACCTGCCCTCGCCCTCCTGAGGTTGGCCTGAATGCAGAGATCTCTGTAAGATGACGTAAATTCACAAAAAAACTCACATTCAGATGCACATACACATGTACACGCACACACCATAAGAAGTAAATCAGCAGAAGTGCCTGCAGATGTGCCCTTCATTGCCATCTGTTGTGAAAAATGTGAAAGCAGCTCACAAAAAGCCATCTTACATTCAGTTGCTTTTCCACCCACAGCATGTAAACATCACCACAAATATAAATACTCCACTTCTATAGAAGTTGTAAGGAGCGGGCCAGGGCCAGAAAAATCTGTTTTATATTTTGTCACTGTGTCTTCTTAGGAGCAATATCGACTTTTACCTTTTAATTAACTGCTGAATGGTGAGAACTAATAATCATTCAAATAGCCATCAAAAAGGCTTTTAACATTACCAGTCATTTGAGGAGCATTAGTAAAGTAATTTAACTCACGTGACATATAATTACTACAGACTATTAAGTCTTTTTTACACTTTTTTTCATCGCTTCAGTGCATTTAAATGGTCTTTACTTCCAGACTGGGCTCATATTCACATCTCGTAGTCATAAACCGCGAGGCTTCACGGGTAAAATTACTGAGTCAAGATGCTGAAAATATACCTCTCATGGGAACTGCTGTGTGAGGACCTGAAATAGAAATGAAGTCAGTCAAATCATGTTTCACTCACAGTAGACAGACAGAGAGAGAGGTCACTTCAAGGTCACCCAGACACAATTTGTTATCCCAGAAACTATTGTAACTATAAATCTATAAGGGGGAGACTGAGGTCGAAAATTGACAAATAGGAGAAAAAAAGGATATTATATATATGAGAGGGAGCAGAAGGTGAAGACCTAGAAAGAGGAATTTGCAGTCATGATGGGTCCATAAAGTGGAGGGTATGGAGGGATGGAAAAGAAAGAAATGGGAGGCAAAAAGACAGAAATTGGAGAAAAAAGTGGAGAGAGGAACAGAAAACAATGTTAAGAGATCAAATGAGGCAAAGGTTAAAGGGAGGAATCAATAAAGTAGTGATTTTGTACTCTTCTAATCAAGGAGGACAGAGTCAATGGCTAATTCAGGCTTCCTGTGTTCTCAAGCCCTAGGGAATACGTTAACAATATTAGTTTATGGGTGACGTGCATGATCATACGCTCATGCACAAATACACACACACACACACACACACACACAGAGTGCAAGAGGGACGCAAAAGCACCCGATGATGCATAAAAAAACCACAATCAGAGGAGGAATTAAAAATAAATCGCACTTTCTAATTAATAAAATAAGCAAACTCAGTGGAGCGGTCAAGATGGGGAATAGATGTGTGTGTGCGTCGCATGATTTAAAAAAAAATTCTTCTCCCTATGGGTTGCCAGTATTGCAGTCCGCAGGGCAGCCCTCCAGACTGCGTCAATATTATCAGCGCAGAACACATCACAAAAGCGTTTTTCTCCTGCAGAACCCTACATTTATATAAGGTATATCTAATACACAGTCATCTTTTTAAACGTAAGAGCGTGTATTATATTCTCTATGATTGTGTGAGAGTTTGTATGTTTATGTGTGGCCTGCATTATTTTTCCATGAACTGCTGTCACTCACCTGTTAATCTGCCCAGCAGCATTCCTTTGGGAGTTACCTGTTGTGTTATGAAACATATAGGACTATGTGTTTGTGTTGGTGTGTGTAGTTATATAACAGGAAAAAAACGTGTGTGTGTGTGTGTGTGTGTGCGTGCGTGCCCGCTCATGTGAGCCATCAGCTGGAGTAAGACCAATTGCACAGATGCGTTTTATCCGTGGGGTGGCTTGATTGACACATGAAAATAAGAAGCATCAAGGCGTTGCTGCAGGTGAGTTGGGTGAATGGGAGGAGAATGACAACAAACACACATACACACACACACACACAATGGGAGGAGAAGGATGTGTGATCGTGTTACTAAGAATGTGGGATGGAGAGAGACAAGGAATAAACTGAGGAGGTAGGGAAGTATTGAAGAGGTGGAAGAGGATATGTGGAGACGAGTGGTGCTGGGTGAGAGCAAGACATGGAAAAAGAGCTGCAACCAACAGTCAGATAAGGAGTGACGTGTGTTGTGAATGCTGATATTGCAATTCCACTCATATTGGATTTTAAAGGCTAATGCGAATGCCAATATACAGTCAATATGATATCATCATCAACAACCCTGGTTTAATTAAAGGTTTGCAGCTGTTTACAATGTCGTGATCCACTTATTCAAGGAGGCATGTTGTATTTGTGTGACAAACTTGTTTGACTGCTGTCTATGAAGCATGTTGGTGACTCTTTTTATTGTCAAAATGTGTTCAGTTTCAACTGACTTCAAACTCATATAAGCCAATATTTAAAGTAAAATATCTGAATCTCATACACACATTTATTTTGATTGCATAATATAATGCCTGCACACAAATTAAGTTAGCTCGGTGTAAATTGTAAATGTGTTTTGTCTGTCTGTTTATATTGTTTGTATCTTCACCTTAACTAAAACAATTGTTAACGGATTGTTACCAGAGACTGTAGAATATAGTGTTTGAAACCTGACGTCACCAATAAAGTTCTGCAGGGAGCAAGCAGGACTTGCAGGAGACTGTGGGGTTGACACAGAACAGGCTGCAGGAATTACGTACATCATCTGGCCTGGGAATGCCTCGGGATCCCCTTGGAAGAGCTGCAAAACGTTGCTGAAGAGAGGGACGTCTGGACACAATCTTTACTTTGCCCACTTCGACAGCAACCAAGCCCCAGATAAGCGGGAGAGAAAATGGATGGAGAGACCTCTGCCCCTGAGGTAGAATGATTTTGGGGAACAACTTGCCTGT